CAGTATAATGCACCTTCATTTAAATCGCCCACATCTTGGTATACTTCAGACACAATTAATGAGTACATTAAAATGATAGTAAAACGGTCAGAAGGTGAAGTTTATGCAGTTGTCACTGATTATATTGTAGCGTATCTTCGAGGAGGTTATCCAGCTTTAAGAAGATGGATAAAAAAAGATATTCACACANATATTGTAGCGTATCTTCAAGGAGGTTATCCAGCTTTAAGAAGATGGATAAAAAAAGATATTCACACAATAAAATTACTTTTTGCACCCATGAATGTATATGAGAGTCATTGGATATTGACAGTGTTTAATATACCTGAAAAGACTGTGACATCATATGATAATCTTAAGACGCAGTATTTCCGGAACATTTTCAAAAAAAAATGTTGAAAAAGTTAGTTTTTGTAAAAAAGGTTGCTATTTTAAATCCCCCCCCCATGAGCAGGTTAAGTTTTAGATTTTCAAAATAAATGATATCAAATCAAAGAAAAATATCTAAGATTTTAGTACAAAAAAAAAATTATGTTGATTTGTTTATTTTTGAAAAAGTTATGGATGTTTTAAGAAAAAAAAGTGAAAAAAATGACAAAATTTACTGATTTTTAAGTTTGTAATTTTTTTGGATATTTCCCCCATTTGCGGGAAACGAGGGAAAATTTTTCAATTTTTAAGGGTAATGTCTTCAACTATAAGATTTGTGATCTTTTGACGTATTGTTGAAAGAAATCTGTCCTGTGAGAGCTGAGAAAAAGTGGCAACAGACATAAAAAAAAAAAAAAACATATCATGATAAAATTAATACCTTCTCAGTTTCGCATCGAAGCTAAAATACTGAATAAGTAGACTTCAATATAATTTTAACTAGTAAAAGTATTTAATTTAGTAATAAATACATGTCAATTTGATTGATGCTTACATTCTCTGTAGTAAGTTTTTGTAGTGTATTGTCAACCTCATCACATCTTATTGATTTATCTATAATATCTATAAAACTTTCGCCATTTTGACCGATAATAATAATATGCGTTTATAATAATAATAATAATTATGAATTTACCGTATATTAGTGATTTTATGTACGCAATCAATTCTGTAGGATGAAGTGGTAAAAGTACCCGTTGGAGCGTCATCCGAAATTGTCGATGTCGGTCCGCTCGACGTGAGCAGTTTTTATTGCGTTGTATACATATTTTTTTTTTCGAGTAGATTGAAGTACTCGGGGCTCCCATCGAACCATACCCCGAATTTGTCGACGTTGGGCTGGACGACGTCAGTAAAATGATTAAATCGCTTTTAAATACGATGGAAACACCGTACGCCATATGCGCTATTTTAGTCGACGATTATTAACTAATTGCAATTGTATAAATATTATTCTTTGTGACATCTATGCGAACTAATTTGCGATGTGTTTGGAATACTCTCATTTATGATATGGCTGAGACTTATCTATAACGTCTATGCGTGTACTTTTCTGAATTATCTGAAGAAGTCACAATGTAACTTCACATGGAAATCGGTTTTGTTACATCGCACGCAAAAACTTCACAAGTCGGGTTATTAAGGATCGCCAGTACTTCTCAACAATTAACATAGTCACTAGAATGTAACATCCCACTCCTCGAAGTGATATCACTGCGACATCTCCGAGATAAATATTTGCACACAAGGGAGTACATACTTCGACGTTGGGGGGTCGTCGTCAGTGAGGACCTTTCACCCCTTATAACCACGACCGGTGGACGGTGTACTGGTGATTCCAATACCAGTAGCACACCAGCCACCACCACGCTGGAAGAGAAGCCGGAGACCCCGATGGAACTGGAGGACAACGGTCTGGTGCGGGAGATGGACTTGTTTCTCTCCTGTCCCACCTCCCCAGCACAGCCGGAACCCCCCACATCCAAAAACGCAATATGCGTGGGGACTAGATCCCTACCCTCTCACTTCTACACGCACTCCACGGAGCACTTCACCCCATCAAACACACAACGTAATTATTGCGTTATGCGACTTTAATATATTTGACTAAACACCGTACGTCATATGCGCTATTTTAGTCGACCTTTATAGTATAGTCCAATAAATGCCTAGAGTCGAATACCCACCGCAATAATACGTCCAGTCAGCCATCTTTGAGACACCGATCGTTTTTTTATCGTTTTTTTCATCGTCTGTCAACTTGATCGAACCATAACCGCAGTTACGATTTTTTGACATCTGCAGAGAAATTGCGCTTGTAAGTCAAATAATGCCGTCACAAAACCGTTGTTAAATTCAAGTTCCTCAGCGGCAGTTGTAATTTTACGCGAGCGTGTTTGTTTGGCAAAACTCGGGTGGTTTACGGTTCGAACGGGGAGCGCCTGAACGGTTTATTCGCCGGCGGTGTCAATCGCCGTAAGCGACGGGTAGGCCGTCTCGGCTGATATCCCCTCCCCCACTGTGTCCAAAATAATTTTGGGTACACCACTCGCGCTGTTATCGTATAACACAGGGACTTTTGTTTTCTCGGGCGTATGATTAATTTTTTTAAAGACCTTGAAGGCTGCATTGTGCCCCTCACTGTGGGTGGGGGTTGCAGTCAGGCACGTAGACATGAGTGGGCCTGACCCCCTTTAGATTTAATGTGACCCAGGGCCGGCCCCCCAAAATTTAAAATTCAATTATTTTTACGAATTATCAAAAACGTGCAAGGCCTTACATACATTGAAATTATTATTAATTTGTGATTACTATTGGGTGATACAGTTATTATTATGGCTATATTTTCATTTTTATATTCATAGGAAACGTTATTTGAAAAAGATAACGTTCTAGACGTAATAATAAATGGAATAGCATTTACTCGAAACGTGGTGTAGGTAAATTTTTTTTAACTCTGGTCCAACAAATGATAACAAACTACTAAGTATCTGCATTGATTAGAATCTAGTTGATTATAAAATTCGATAGAGTAATACTCTATGAACATTTTTTTTAATAATTCTTATTTTTAATCTGTTTCTTTTTTTGATCAAAAATCGTATCTAGTCGAAGACATTACCCTCAAAAATTGAAAAATTTTCCCTTGTTCCCGGTAAATGGGGGAAACCTCCAAAAAAATTAAAAATTTAAAAATCGCTAATTTTCGAAATTTTTTTAATTTTTTGTACTTAAAATTTCCATAACTTTTTTAAAAGTAACCAAATCAATATGATTTTTTTATATAAATGGATGATATCATTCCTCCCATTTGGTATATTTTTTTATATAAATCTGACCCTTTACCTGACCAATACCATCCGCGTGCCATACAGCTTACGTATAACGTTAGTCCCACCCGCTTGCCCACAAAACACAGCTATACTTAGTGCATGATACGTTTGCGTACTATATTGCTTTACATGTATATATATATATATATACTCTAATTACTATTAACATTTATATATTAACACGCTTTCTTCTAATTAAGAGATATAAAGTATTCATTCCGATTACGAGGGATGATTTCCGTATCGTCATTTTTCGTCACTATCTCCACGTTTTGGGAGTGAGTAATTTGCGCGCCTGCTGTTTTCCTTGGATGTGGTAGCCGTTTCTCTGACTCTCTCTCCGGAATCGAACTCTGACTTCCCGTTACCCGTAACAACCAAGATATTGATAATAACTACTATAATAACATGAAACTAAAAAGTAAAAAATAAATATAGTTTAAAAAATTAAAAAAACACGTTTTTAAAGCACATCGAACTAAAAAGTTAAAAATAATTTTTAAAATTAACTTAAAACAATAATACTAGTATGTTTCGTTCATTATTGTTTTAAGTTAATTTCAAAAATTATTTTTAACTTTTTAGTTCGATGTACTTTAAAAGCGTATTTTTTAGTTTTTTTAAACTGTATTCTTTAAAGCATTATTGTTCAATAAAGTAATTGTAAATATTTTATCAATAATTTTAGCTTCGATATGAAACTGTTTAATTATAATAAGCTTATTTAGTTATATTTTGAATTTAACAAAACATTTTTAAATTTTTTTTATGAAATAACTTGACGTTATTTCAGGAAAATGATTTGCAAAGACGAGTAAAATTTTTTAGCACACTGTGAGCGTTTAAAAATGTTATCGAAAACGGTCATTGCTGCCATCGATTTTCGATTTAAAACCTAAAGTTATTACCAAAATTACTTAGAGACATTCCAAAGATACCCTGAAAGTTTCGTTGAAATCTGTTGATTTGTTGAGATTTTTTTTTAAGTCCACGTGCGTAGTATTTAATAAGATATTATTTTGTTATGCGCATGTCAATTTTGTTTTAATTTTATATTGTTTTTACTTATAGCACGGCATTTAAATAATATTTTTAGTAATTATTAAGTTTTCTTTTGCCTACCTGTTGTTTTAAATAATAATTAGTAGGTATGTATGAAATATAATAATATGTAATACACCTAGTATTTTGTAGATATATTATTATAAGTAGGACTATTTTTCAGCAAAACTACTTTTGGAGTTATATTTTTTAACAAACGCGAATGGTGCCCGACTACGCTGGGTACTCTTACCGAAATCAGTGGCCTACCTGTAAAAACAGCCTGAAAGACCTAATACGCTGTAGGCGCGTGAGGCCCGAAAGGTACCAAGTCTCAGGTGGAGCCCAGCTAGGCAAAGCCTAATGTAAAACATTACTGTTATTTAGTTTTGACCTAACTAGGTCACTCATAAATATTCTATAATTAATAGATAGAGATATTTTGTTAAATAAAATATCACTTGGTAAATAGACTGCTTACATTAAAATTACATTATAGTAAAATAATTTAAATTAATTGAAAATATTATAATTGTTTTAATAATTAAGAGTTATTGGGTGAACAACTCTTAATAAACAAAAATAATTGTAATCTACAAAGATCTTTTGGAAACACCGACAATAAACAGTATTAATATCAATTTTCTTAATACGTTGTATTTTACGATAATGAAATATGTTTTTTTTATTTTTTAGGGAGTAAAGTGAATATAGAGAGAACCGTATTTTCATCACGTTAGTATATATAAAATAAAAATTATTATTTAATATGATGTGAGGAGATAGTTTATATATAATATCGTCTAGGGTAAGGCACCTATCTAGCTGTATGATGTCTAAAACGCAATGTATTGGTTCTTCAACAACATTTTGACGATTCCAAATGAGCTATGAACTATTTCCGTACAATTTGAACATTCATCACACCTGTATCATATACCAACACTATTTTTCAATAGATTTTCATGAGAATTTGAATTTTTACTTGTAAAAATTAGGTGACGGAGGCAACTCAACAATGGCGTAAGAAGATAAAAGACCTTCCGTAATGACTGAGCTTTTTACGCTCAGATGTTCAGTGACGATTAAAACATATTTAGATTAACCATTATATTTAAACTACATTGACATACTAGAGTATTGTTCCGTCGGGGGTATTCATAGGAAATATTTTTATCGCCTTCTTCAAAAGGAAAACAATTGTATTGTCACCATGTAATTATGTTTATTTGAAGGTATCTACCGCTTTCGTCCTTTTAATTATGTTTTTGTTAAAGTATTTTAAACACATTTTAATAAAAATTAGAAATAAATCTTAATAACTCTTAATAAGCGATCAATAAAAATTGTAATTTTTTTATTAAAATCATTATCATTATTATGATGATTATAATCGTTATCGAAGTAGTTTAAAATGTAAAATATTCGGTTTAAAATTGATATAGTATCGATTTTACAATAATCAGTTTGTTTTTTTTTTTTTTTTTTTGACTGTCCATAGTATTACTACGCTGTTACTGAACCGATTTTGATGATCACTATGCTAGTAACAACCCAAATTTAATCTATATGAACATTTCGGCTTTAAAAATTGAAAAAAAAATTCTTCATGTAAGTATTTATAATAGTCATGTCAAATATAGTCAATAAATCATAGATATCAATCTATAATATGCATGGATCTATATGCATTATTTTATTAATATTATTTCACGATGAAAACACCCAGCACAATAGGGCCACGGCACAGTGGGAACAAATATAAATGATATCTAACAGTGGTTAACAAAACTGTCATAATAAGCCTCCAATGCAAATCTATAAATAGTGAATAATTAAACAATTTCATTAGAATTAGTGTATTTTTGAAAGACTTATAGCAAAATGAAAAAAGTGACAATTTTTTACAGAAATTTCACTATTGTTGACTTTAAAGTCAAATGTCAGACCTTCTGGAATATTTTCAAATATCGAGTTGAAAAAAAAATTTATCTGCGTGGGGATGGTCTATTAAAAAGTCTTCCCGTATTTATGTTTTACATAGGATTTTCAAAAAAAGCATACTCTATTATTATTAATATACTCTATTACAATTTCATTTGAATAAGAGTTTAAAAAAAATTACACCAGTTTTAAAATGCAGAAAAATAATTTTAAAAATACCATTTTTTACGGTATTGTAATTTAAAGATATTTTTTTTAATTTTTAAAAATAAGGGGGTTTTACTAACTTTCAACACTGATAGCTTCAACTAGATTAAAATCCTATTATTATGGCGTATTGATCATTAAAATCAGGCCAGTGAGAGCTGAAAATATTCAAGTACAGACTGTAATGTTGCAGAATTTGACTAGTTCTTTTTAGTCAATTTTTATCAGTTAATGGTGTGTGCATTAGGTATTAAGTATGTCACCAATTATAAAATTAACTAATATACTAGTCAACCGATCCAATGGTCAGTACCCGGTTTTTTGTGACAGTTTGACCGCACACAGTGCATCCCTACATTTATGTAACTCCCCATGAACCAATTTAAAGTTGGCACCTTCACCACCCGGCGCTACGATCAGCGGGCACTATACGATGCCATGACTACTCGTTTTTTCTTTCTTCTCAGCTACACTACCGAGGTGAAAAGTCGTGTTTATTTTTATATTGTTTTCTATGGTGAAAACCACGTTTTCATGATCTGCATTTTTTTTGTCCTTCGTTGTTTTTTTTAATTTAATGTCGATCTGCCGTTTACTCGTTGGGTCAACCTGACTGTATTTTTTTGTCCTCCGTTTTTTATTAAAATAAAACGTTGAGATGATTGCGATGTGAGGTGCAACAATGGTCAGTGGTGGGCCGTCACTCAAGAACACAATCAACAACAAGTATAACATGAAACCCCTGTTCTACCTCATTATTAATGTTGTGTATAGAGCACCTCTTTTTCTTCCTTTTTTATTTTTTTCTTATGAATATATATATTTAAAATGATAAATATAAATTTCGAATAATTAAAAAAAATGTTATTATATTATACATGGCTTTTCTCTTTTTACTCTTCTCTCATTTTATTACTATATTTTTTTTTTTAATCAAAACCTAGTAGCTCCGTCAACAAGTACCATCTTGCTTAGCTCGGTTACTAAGTCACTGTTCAATGTTCCCCTGGACAGTGAGTAAATAGTAGTTTGGCTAAAACCTTACAAGGCATAAAAAGAACGCACATTATGGTAAAACATATACCTTCTTAACTTCGCATCCAAACTAAAAATATATTGAGAATAGCAAATCTATCAATTGAGGCACACTATATAGAGTGATTTTTTTATCATGCACACTCAATTACTTACAGAATAAATATAATTTAAACATTCTTTTTTGTTACACATTGTTCTTGAATTATTAACTCTTTAATACTTTTTAAGTTCATCCCTTATGCCTTGTAAGGGTGTCAAATTTGTTTTTTTAAATGGTACACACATATTTTGAATTTAATAAAATGTTTGTTTTTAATTTAATAGTAAATGGCATTTGAACTTTTAATATAACTTTATTAGTTTATTAGACATAAACATTTAAAGTTTCAAATTTTTGAGTTAATATATAATATATATTATGTATAATATACAAAGGATTACAAATACAGGTAGCTAATTGGTGTTGTATGACGTCGCTGTCACAGTCGCGGAATGTTTATTGTCAATTATGACTATCAATAGATATACTTTCTGTATTGCCAGGATTTATAAACTCACAACAATGTGCTATTTAACATTGATAATAAATTTTGTGTACTTGCGAATATAGATGTCATAAAAAACCAATAAAAAAACATATTATTTTATATTTGATAATTTTTAAAAAAGTTATGGTAGTTTTAAGGGAAAAAAAATGAAAAAAATAACAAAATTTACTGATTTTAAAAATTGTAATATTTTAAAGATTTCCCCCCATTTACGGGGAACTAGGAAATTTTTTTTATTGTTAAGGGTAATGTCTTCAACTAGATATGATTTGTGATCTTTTGGCGTATTGTTGAAAGAAATCGGTCATGCGAGATCTGTAGTGAAACAAAAAAGGAAAATAAAAATATTATTTGTTTATTTAAAAAGGGGGTTATTAATTGTTTTATTTTAGAGAATATTTTGAGAGTTACTTAAAAGAAATAAATTAAATAGAATATGACGGGATTTGGGTTCTTATATGATCCACCACTTTATTGTATTAATAATATTATTATTCGGGGTATGAGTACGAGGGTCTGTAAGAAAGATAGAAAATCATAGAAAATAAAATGATCATAATTTTATTAATATCGGATTTATTATAATTAATTGTCAATTTTTAAATAGCAATAATGCCAAGGTTTTGACGGTTATCGGTGATAGGTGGGATTGAGTCACCTCGTGTGTCTACTCAGAGTGGTAAAGTGGCTATACATATGAACCTCCAACCTAACTCCTGAAATAGACACGTATCAACGATATAACTCTGCCAAGTAACTCTGTACAAACATTATCGATTTATTAAATTTACTTGGTATATTTATTATTATTGATATTTATTTGATTTTCTTGTATGCCTACTTAATCTACGTACACATAAAATTTAATTTCTAAACCTTATATATTTTTGGTGAATTTATTAAATTCCTGCCTTGATATTTTCTGCGATACTCTTAAATGAATAGATGTTGTATTTTTTGCACAAATATAATTGCGAAGACGATGGATCACTTCTTGCATATATTTCGTTGTGTGGAATGATCGAGCGTAGTGTACTCACTACGCACGATATTATGAATATCTGACTGCATCTGTCTCAGAATGGTCTTTGTTTTTGGCTTTTTATATTATATTTGATCGTGGTTCAAAGGCAAGAAGTGATCACCGACGCCACTATTATTTCTTTATTAATCGTAATTTATTAGATGTTATTTATTACATTTTCATCAATAATGATCTACATATGATAAAATACTATCATACCTTATATAATAATTTAGACATAGTTTATTACCCTTCATCTTGTGTGCTACCATTACATATTGTTTATTCTTTCCTGTTTGTTTTATATAATTAATATATCCTTTTTTCTACGAAATTTCACTAGTATATTTAAACATTTAAAAGGTACGTATATATATATATATATATTATTTTTATTGTTATACATTTCATTTATGTATGATTGATTGATTAAAGTTTTAAATAATACATTATAACATTAATGATGTACTATGTATATCATTACAGATCTGAAAAAAAGTGGCAACAAACAAAAAAAAAAACACATCATAGTAAAATTAATTCTATCTCTACTTCACATCGAAGCTAAAATAATTAAAACAAGAAACACTCAAGTAAAAGTATATTTATAGATCTTTACATATAAATAATGTAATACATTTCATTTTAAGAGTTTTATGATATCTGAAAAAAAAATAATTTATGTTAATTACTATCATAAATATTTCTTTTAGGATTGTATAAAAACATCCACAATTCAATTATGAGAAAATTGCCGTTAAATTTTTACAATTTAACAAATTTGCATCGAACCATTTTAAAGATATGATGTAAATTATTGTCAGATACCACCTATACTTGTTTTCATTGTTCTTTGATTTTTTCTATTAATAAATATGATTTACCTGTATGCCAATGGAAATAAATTTCATCAATAGTCATAATATGACTAATAATAAAATATAATAAATGTAATAGTTTTAGCTCAATAAACACTTTCATTAAATAAGAATTTTTAATAATGGTTGTTGAGACAGCTTACAATTTTTAATTTATAACCTTAACACATAACAATAAATAAGCCACAGAAAAATTAATTTACGTAGTTATAAGTTTAATGTTCTATTATAAAAAAAAATAGCAAGAAATGTAAATTAAGTAAAATTAAAACTATATTAAAAATATTATTAATTTAAAAAACAAAAAAATATTAAAAATATTAAACTCAATAATGTAATACATTTCATTTTAAGAGTTTTATGATATCTGAAAAAAATAATTTTTGTTAATTATTATCATAAATATTTCTTTTAGGATTGTATAAAAACATTTAAGATACACAACGTTTTTATAAAAGTGAAATAATGTTGATTTTTAACGCGATAATCATTAACTGGTATCACCATTTTTTATACTCTATTTCAGGTTCTACTTATTTTTAAAATATAAGTTCCGGGTCTAATTAATGAGGTCTTTATCTTAAGATTTATGATTAATAGAACCTTAATTATCAAAATAAAATTTATTTTGTAATATATTTATATATATTTTCGTCTTATATATGATATATATTAAGATGTACTTTGGAAGAAAAAAAAAATCTTATACATATCACACCTAGACAAAATTTTGAGAACGTTTCTACTATTTATTAGGATTAAAAATATTCTTCAGGGAGAATTGAAAATATAATGTAGCCCTCATAACAATACAATGTCCTCATTTTTGAGAGTAAAAGTATAACGGAAATAATTAAAAAAGTATGTTTTTTTTTTTTTTGAAAGGGATGGTTTTGAGGTATTAGAGTTTCAAGATTTAGTATTTGTGAAAAGCGCAGTAATATTTAGCGATGCTCTTTTTTGACCATAACGGACAAATAAGAACTCTTCTACGTTGCGCATTCCTTTTACATAAAAACTATAATAACTAAAAATAATAATAAGAAGAAACTGGTTATTGACTATTCAAAATTTTATTCGGACTATACTCCATTTAATAGTAAAAGAATATTAATAGTTTCCTGTTTAACTTTTGAAAGTTACTCCTAAAATCTACCCTTAGGAATAATTTTTTTTTAAATAGATTTTACATTATTTATGGTTTATAAAAATAGAAAAGATTTTAATTTATGCATTCTTATAAAAAAAACATTATTTAATAAAAAAAATGGGGGTACTATGATTAATAAATCACATTGTATAAACAATGTAATTTTTTTTTTTTTAAGGAACGAAAATTTGCAAAACGATGAAATCAAAAAAGCTGTATAAATTCATTTGATTTAATTTCGGCTCTTATTAATGAAAACGAAAGTTCATACTTTTACATAACTCTTCTGGAAGAAATGTATGAAATGTATATTGAAAATTCATTGATTTTTATAATGATATATTTAAAAACTTTATACATTGTTTTGAGTGAATCAAATGTAAAGTGAGATTTAGACATGTTTCTTGAAATATATTTATATATTTAATTGTCTAACTTCTATTTTAGTTGTTAGTCTATAACATTAATATTATTCACAATTTAAAAAATTACCTTGGCATTTAAGTAAGTGATCGGGTGTCCTATCCAATTTATATAGAGTTTTCGCTAGTATTTCTTCATCTAATTTATGTAGCTTAAAAATAAAACTTGCTACCCCCATAGGAATATATCCGTATTTATTTGTTTTACTTCGCAATTCATCAGCTAATCCATTCAAAAGTTCATTAATAATATCACGGTATAATACCATTGCTTCGTCTATTGTCATTGCAATATTATCTAATCGTATATAAATTAAACATGTATTACTATAATTAAATGATTTTCTTGATTGTTCATTTTATACAGTTGGTAAGGTATTAGTTTTAAAATTTAATATTATTTACATTTACACTACATCTGTTCGGTCGTGTCAAAGAGAGTTCGGTTGTCAACGCAATGAGCGCGACCTGTCCTAACCAGTTTTGTTTTGGTAGTGTATGTGATGGCTCTCCTACTCGTATTGTCGTATGCTCCGGATTAGTGTAGCTGCATTATTATTATACATTTCATTATTATGATTCTGTTGTGTTGTTTTGACTTCTAGTAAGTTGTGTCGCAGTTGATGTCGACTTGCTTATTTTGGTTTTTATGTGTTAAATTCACTTTATGTACGTTGGTTTATACGAATTAATGCACTAAACGGTGCGTATTAATATTCCGGTATTCAGCGAAAGAAGTATATATTTTACAGTTGGTTGCGTCGGGATCGGTTGTAATAATTGACACAGTGAAACACTTTTCATGTTGTTACGAGAAAGCGCAAGGTCAAATTATACTTTATGTTATTGTCTAAATATTAATTGTGAAGAATATTTTATGTTGTTATATTTTATTATTTGTTCAAGTGTAAATTACTAACCATAGATTTAAGGTATAAATTATTGTTGTTATTGTATTTGATAATATAAATTACAGCCCACAAAACTTTATTTTTATTTAATTTTAAAGAAACCGATAGAGACGCGATTTAACTGCGCGAAAGGTCGTCCGAGTATTTGGCGTCGTACAACATCTTTAACTATTATTTAGATAATGATTCAATAAAAAGTCAAATAATAGATCAAAATTTAATTTTGTTGTGCTTTATGAGATAAGTTTTATCATCTCGATCTATTTTAGCTTCGATGCGAAGCTGAGAAGGTATTAATTTTACTATGATGTGTTTTTTTTTCTTTGTGTCTGTATACGCTCAATCTCAGCTCTCGCTGGACCAATAATAATGAAAAATATGTCAAAAGATCACAAATCGTATCTAGTCGAAGACATTACCCTCAAATTAAAAAAAACTCCCTCGTTCCCCGTAAACGGCAGAAATCCTCCAAAAAATTACAAATTTAAAAATCACTAATTTTCTAAATTTTTTAAAATTTTTTTTACTTAAAATTGTCAACTTTTTTAAAAATAACCGAATGATTATATATTTTTTTTTATAGAAACCTTAGGTATTTACCTATCGTTTTATATTTTTTTGTGAACATTTGACCCTTAACCAGCCCACAGGAAGGGTTTCAAATGGTAACTTTTTCACAAAAAAATGAACTTTTGAAAATGTTTACTTTTATATATATCTTAAATTAAAGCTTATGTAATATACTTTATTTTGAAAAAAAAATTGACCTCTGGACTTGTCTTCGTGGTGAAAACGGACATCAAAGTTAAAGAAAAACGTACGATTTCCGTGAAAAAATTCTCAATATTATATTGCTATAACATTAATTTCCATAATTGTTCTTATTAGCACTATATCGTCAGCGAACAATATGCACCATGACATCACTCCTTGTATTTCTCTAGTACTTCGTCCATCATTATAGTAAGGGCTTAAAGCAAAATATTGGTGCATTCCTACTCATATCCTAAAACCTTCTATTACACCTTCCACACTTTATACCCTGGTATAATCATTACAGGGTATCATACATATCCTCTATTATATTAATGTACCTTTTCTCATTAATTCCCATTTTGAAACCTTTCTCGGTATCCTATTGTACGCTTTCTACAAATTTATAATTTCCATACACAACATTTTCTTCTTTTCCCTATATATTTCTATTAGCTGTCTCACACAAAATAATGGCTCCATTGTTGAATGTTATCTTATTTTACTAATTATTGACACAATTTTTTTCTAGATAATTTTTTATGTTTTTGTTATTATACTACTATCAGTCAAAAAAAGATGATTATTTTTCAATCATAAATTTTTAATAAATAATTGTTGAGTTTGATTTAATATTACATTATTAATTAAATATTTTATTCATTTTTTTTTTAATATACATTCTCCCGTAATTATCTGCAAAAGAATATTCTTACCCTTACCGAGAATCTTCTTTCGTTATATCACTACACTCGTATCAATAATTTAGATAGTGATGAGACTTCACAGATAACATCAAAAATATATATGCTTTGAAAAAGCATGTATAAGACCAAATGATTTTGTTTTCACTATTGACTTTATTTAGTCTACAAATGATAAGGTTAAAAATAATTTTTGTGTCAAATGGCAACGAGTTGAGTTCGTCCGTTAACTACAAATTTACAAGTACTGTTTGAGTAGCGTGTTTATTAAAGCACAAAACTATTAACCACTAAGAAACCAATTTTGTCAACAACAGTATAAAAAAGGCTATATAATCTATGTATTATTCAATGGTCAGTAGGGAATAGTCAGCTAATTATTGTTGTATATCTATTTAAGTTTGTTGTCGTGTACGTTGAATTAATTATATGAGAAAAGCCAGATAGTCGTCGCTATCCAATAAATGAATACTATGTTCGTAAGACATAATAAAAACAAATCAATAATAAACGAAAATTAAATTATACTTACTCCTACTCCATTTTGCTTCTCTAAAAGAGCCTTCAGTGATATCTATTCCATGTATTATTATATAAACACAAACAAAATCCTTGAAATAAATAAATTCATCACCATTTTGACGTACTGATAATAATTTATTTCTCACTCGAGGCTCAAAAATATTTAAGACAGTTACATGATCGTTTTCCTAAAAATATAATCTATTAGATTTGATGCAAAGTTGAGAAGATATTGGTTTTACTATGAATTTTGTCCTCGTTCTCCGTAAATGGGAAAACCTCCAAAAAAATTACAAATTTAAAAATTGCTAATTTTCGAAATTTTAAAATTTTTTTTTACTTAAAATTGCCATAACTTTTTCAAAAATAATTAAATCAATATAAATTTTTTTTATATAGATGCATGATATTATTACCTATTATTTGATATATTTTTTTTATAAATTTGACCCTTTACCTGCCCACAGAGGGGATTTAAAATGACAACTTTTTTACAAAAAATTTATTTTTTCAACTTAACATTTAAAAGTGTTACGGAAAGTCTGACACTTTTATATATATATCTTAAATTAAAGCTAATAAATTGCACTTAATTATGGAAAAAAAAAATTCGGACTTTATTTTGTTTTCATGGTGAAAATGGCTACCGAATGCTATTCTTGTGTGAAAATTCTCGATTTTATTTTTTCATTTTTAACTTTATAATACTATAACTTATTGATAAGTGTATGGGACTACACAATTTTTTTATGAGAAATAATATTTTTTAATAATCTCTTTTTTATTTGACATACTTTATATTAATCAAGATATTAATTAAGGAACTAGCAGATCATGTAGCATTTGGAATAATCCATCAATTTTTTAAAACTATACACTATATAAAGATTTGCATCGAAGCGTTTTTTATGATAGTGATATTAAAATACTTGAACCAACTATGCCACGTCACCACTGTGCCATGACTCCTCTGTGCTGGTTTTTTTAGTTTTATTTGAATTTGTTGATGTAAATGAGTCAAATGTTTCGCTTCTTGCATCTGTTTATAAAGGTAGTTTATATAAAATAACTTGAGTTTTGTATTATACTTTAGAAGTATGAAAATATTATCAGAAATAATATATCTTTAATTTACTGAAAAAACAATTTCTTTTTTTACTTTAAAAAAGTATAAAAAAATAAATACTATATAGTATTATTCTTGTATTTTTTAGAAAACATCATATTTTTATATTTCGTAGTTAAATTTTTAATTTTATAAATATTTAAATATTTACATGTTTGATATCGTATAATAAATACATGAAAATTCTATTTTTTACACAAACTTTAAAATATTAAAGAAAAATATACTACTCAACATTAGTAAGATATATTTTTAATAATAATAGTACTTTATAATCGCCCATAAGGATAAATAGAGTGTATAAAATTATAATAATAATTAGTCATGACGAATTAATACATAAATAAAAATAAAAATTAGTACAGAAAAAAAATATTTAAAAATTGAATAAAACTTTTTAATATTTATAAATTAATATAGAAATTATTAAAATTCAAAACATAATAATAGAAGTTTAGATTCGCTATTATAATTAAAATCTAAATTAACCTTAATACAAGCTCGTTACATATAGTCCATTTAAACCATAAGACGATAAATGTGAAACGATTCGTGAAATATAACTGGAGATTTAGAAAAAAATAAAGGAACATGCAACTAATTTAAAAAGTTCTGGACAATCTACTATATTATATAAAAGTTTATAAACAATGAATAAATAATTATATTCGCGTCTATTACATTATGATTGAAGCTGTAAAACACATTGAAGATCATGGAATAACGAATGAATTTTAAATTTTTGACAGAGACCACTTAAAATGCTATATTAAATCGTGTTCAGGTAATTAATGAGTCGAAACTAGTAGAATGGTTTCATATTCCAAACTAGATCTTATAAGAGAGTAATGTAAAACTTTTAAGCAATTGATATCTTAGAAATTCCAACATTGTCTTCTAATAAAGCATACTTTTATTATGTATATAATTATTGTGATTGTTGAAGAATAGATTGGCTAATAGATAACACCTAGACCTTTAATTTAAATATATAAATACACTAGTATTTGTTAAGAATTTTCCAGATATTCCTGTGTTTTTTTTATTAACACTTTATATTCACTTTATATTCGAAATGCACAGAAATAATACTTTTAAAATCCATATACAATTAACTTTTTTCTAGTTAAAGTTTTATAATTTTAAGTTAAACCAAAAAAATATATACTTGAAAGTTCAGAACTTTTTTTAAAAATTACACTACACTCGACTTTAAAGATTCAAAAAATCGGTTAAACTTGATGAAACAGTTTTAAATTTTACATAACTCTCATTAAACATCATTAAATAAATTCAAAAAAATTAAAAAAAAAATAAATTTAATTTTTTTTATAATTATTTCTCTGTATTATTGCTTAATTGCTAATTATTAATTAACTCAAAAACTAAGTATGATAAAAATTTAAAACCCGATTCAGAAACAAGAACTGTTTTTAAATCGAACACAGTCGCAGAATCACTACTTCAGAACCCGGAAGATAAGCTACCAGAGATGCAAACACCCGGAGAATATGAAATAGCGTGCTCTTGTGGTAAATCGTACATGGGACAAACAGGAAGAACTATTGAAACAAAAATAAAAGAACACGAAAAAGATGTGGATTACCAAAGACAGAAAAATCCGCAGTAGACGAACATGCTAAAAACAAAGGACATAACATCCAATTTGATAAAATAAAAATACTAAACAAAGAAACTCATTTTGGCAAACGAATGTACAAAGAGGCAATAGAAATCGATAAATGTCCAGAGAATTTGAACAGAGAAGATGGATGGAAAATAAGCAAAACTTGGTTAGCCATCATACACCAGACAAAAAGAATATCAACTAACAACACTGAAAACAGTTCAATACAAGAAAAAGTTACTATCAACGTAATCTATTATTATTACGACGTTTAAGTTCTGTCAATAATTAATAAATAAATAAAGTTTTTTTCATTTTTCTATAATTTTAGCTTCGATGCGAAGCTGAGAAGGTATTGGTTTTACTAAGATGTGTTTTTTTTTTTTTTTTTTTTTTTTTTTGTGTCTGTTACCACTTTTTCTCAGCTCTCACCGAACGGATTTCTTTCAACGATACGTCAAAAGATCACAAATTGTATCTAGTCGAAGACATTACCCTTAAAAATTGAAAAAATTCCCTCGTTCCCCGTAAATGGGGGAAATATCCAAAAAAATTACAAATTTAAAAATCGTTAATTTTCAAAATTTTTTCACTTCTTTTTCTTAAAACTTCCATAACTTTTTCAAAAATGAACATATCAATATAATTTTTTTTTATATCAACGCATAATATTATTACCTTTCATTTGGTATATTTTTTTCATAAATTTAACCCTTAACCTGCCCACAAGGGGGGATTTAAAATGACAACTTTTTCACAAAAAATTAATTTTTTTAACTTAAATTTTGAAAATGTTCCGGAAGGTCTGACACTTTTATATATATCTTAAATTAAAGCTAATGTAATATGCTTTATCATGAAAAAAAAAATTTCGAACTTTATCTTATCTTCATGGTGAAAATGGCTACCGAATGCTATTTTTGTGTGAAAATTTTCGATTTTGTATTTTAGATTTTTAACTTTATTATGCTATAACTTTTTGAAAAATGTATGGATCAATACAATTTTTTCATTAGAAGTAGTATTTATATACATCTTTCATTCGACATACTGTTTTTTTAAATCCGACCATTTCCCTACACACGAGGGGGGTTCAAATCTAAAAAATGCATATAGAAAGTAGAACTTTTTCAACTTAAATTTTGAAAGTGTTCCGGAAAGTCTGACACTTTTATATATATCTTAAAATGAAGCTAATGTAATATGCTTTATCATGAAAAAAAAAAATTTCGGACTTTATCTTATCTTCACGGTAAAAATGGCTACTGAATGCTATTTTTGTGTGAAAATTTTCGATTTTGTATTTTCGATTTTTAACTTTATTATGCTATAACTTTTTGAAAAATGTATGGATCAATACAATTTTTTCATTAGAAGTAGTATTTATATACATCTTTCATTCGACATACTGTTTTTTTAAATCCGACCATTTCCCTACACACGAGGGGGGTTCAAATCTAAAAAATGCATATAGAAAGTAGAACTTTTTCAACTTAAATTTTGAAAGTGTTCCGGAAAGTCTGACACTTTTATATATATCTTAAAATGAAGCTAATGTAATATGCTTTATCATGAAAAAAAAAAATTTCGGACTTTATCTTATCTTCACGGTAAAAATGGCTACTGAATGCTATTATTGTACGAAAATTCTCGATTTTATTTTTTACATTTTTAACCTTATAATGCTATAACTTATTGAAAAGTGAATTGATCAATATAATTTTTTTATGGGAAATTCTATTTTTTAATAATCCCTTTTTCATTCGACATACTTTATCTTAATCAGGATATTAATAAGAAACTAGCAGTTTATGAAGCTTTTGGAATAATCCACCAATTTTTTAAAATTAAACACTATCTAAAGATTTGCATCGAAGCGTTGTTTTTTGATAGTGATTTTAATCACTGTCAGATATTATTATACTTGATCCAACTATGCCACGTCACCACTGTGCCGCGACCCCACTGTGCTGGTTTTTTTTATCTTTTATTGTTAGTGTTATAATTTTTAACAAATTAAAAATAAAATTCTAGTAAGTTACCGGCATTTTACTTGAAGTAACTTTAGTATTTGATGGTCCACAGCTATTCGGAAAGCATAAAGTTGATATAATGCAACTTGCAAAGAGTAATATTTTAAATTGATAAATCATATTTTAATATTATCCGTTTTAAATTTAATGAATTTTAAATAGGTAAACAGTTATTAATTGAATATAATATTTATATAAATGAAAATTTTTAGCTTAATACTTCAGCGATACAAACTATTTTAACTTTTATTTACTTATTTGTAATATTTTATGGTAAAATCAAGTTTATTCTATTAATGTTATGTTTTAATGTTAACAATATATCATTATATGACAGTTTTAAACAAATTAAATTTTATAATAAATTCAGAAATAAATGCATAATTTTCTTAAAATTATTATTGTTTACTTGACAAATTATTTTTTAAAATTAAAAATAGTTACATTAACATCACTTTTGATTTAGTTTTACAGTAATAAATTATTTATATCGAGAAAATATGAGTACACTGCAAAGTTGAAGACAATTAAAAATAAAAAGTATATACTAGTACACCATTTTTTTTCAGATGATTTAAAAATGCTAAATAGTGAGCCAAAAGTAAGATTTTAGTAGTGTGATGTAAAAGTAAAATTATGTTGAGTGTGTTGATTAATTAATTTGGATTTTTGAGTACTTGAATAAATTTAATTATCTTACTTTCGGTTACTATAATTTAGTTTGTTTAATTTTATTGGAGTATTATTTAATAATTCTCCTGACAAACCAGTTAATAAATTTGAATGAGAAAAGATAGCTTAATTATTATTGTTTTGTCAGTTTCTTCTCGGATTAAATAATTTCTAAATTATTGGGATGACAATGTATCACTTACTTTATGATTTTTTCCATAATAATCGAATAAACAAGACTGACAAGTTTTGAATATTTTGAGCCTGATGGTCAATTGGTGCATTTGATTCTTGAATTGAAAGGCGAAATAATGAGAGAGAGTTGTATAGCATTTACGGCTTTATATATGAAATCTATGATCTATATATGTCATCAAAATGTAAGAATTGACCACCAGGGCCCTTAATTTGAATGAATTTCTTAAATGAAAATTATAAGCAGGGATAATATGTGACATTGGTTATGATACATTTGATTTTTCTTAGGGATACTGTTACTTAATACATTATCATTGTAGATTAATTTACAGTGTTTACATTTATGGTATAGATATTAATCTTAAACTGAACAAATACATACATTGTATTAATTACAATAGTGATTATGCTATGATATCAATTTAAGACAATTGTTTTATTTTGTGATACACATTACGAATAATATTAAATTAAAATGATGAATGGTATCACAACAGCTAAATTTATCTAATCTACTGAAGTTTCTAAAATTTGATTTATCATTGTCATAAAAACATATACAGAGTGATTTTTTTATCATAACCCACTAAATTACTTACAGAATAATAATAATATAAACAATTTTTTTTATTATTATCTTTAGTTACACATTATTCTTGAATTTTTAACTATGTAATACTTTTTAAGTTTATCCCTTATGCCTTGTAAGGGGGTCAACTTTGTTTTTCTAAATGGTAACACATATTTTTAATTTAATAAAATGTTTGAGTTTTTAATTTAATTGTAAATGGCATATAAATTTTTAATATAACTTAATTCGTTTATTAGATATAATCATTTAAAGTTTCAAATTTTTGAGTAAATATACAGGTATAATACACAAGGGATTACAAATACAAGTAGCTAATTGATTTTTTATAACATCGACATTAGCAGGTACACAGCATTGTTATTATCAATGATAGTAAGGTACATTGTTGTGAGTTTATAAATACACTAACTGACAATATAAAAAGTACATCTATTGATAGTTATAATTGATAATAAACAATCCGTGACTGTGACAGCAATGTCATAAAAAACCAATTAGCTACCTATATTTGTAATCCCTTGTGTATTATACCTGTATATTAACTCAAAAATTTGAAACTTTAAATGATTATATCTAATAAACGAATTAAGTTATATTAAAAATTCAAATGCCATTTACTATTAAATTAAAAACTCAAACATTTTATTAAATTAAAAATATGTGTTACCATTTAGAAAAACAAAGTTGACCCCCTTACAAGGCATAAGGGATAAACTTAAAAAGTATTACATAGTTAAAAATTCAAGAATAATGTGTAACTAAAGATAATAATAAAAAAAATTGTTTATATTATTATTATTCTGTAAGTAATTTAGTGGGTTATGATAAAATAATCACTCTGTATAAAAAAACAATTTGATTATTGAATAATCGTTATAGAATAAATGATACCGGTTCATAGTGTAATAGCATGTACAGTTTATCGTATTTTATATAAACCGGTAGCGTTTATTGGTATACGAAATAATAACATTGTAAAATTTCGAAAACGTGGGACATTTTTATTTCATAGCTTTAAATTTACTATTTTCTTTATTAAATCATCTCTAAATTTAATTTTAAATAATTTTGAATAACTTTCATACATATATCATTAAACATTTCTTGGCCTCTATTTGCTTAGGTATAAAAATGTTAATAACTTAAAAATAGACATACCCGTATCTCACCAACAGGTTATTGTTTTTATATATTATAAAATGATAATAACTACTGGTCCAGAAGTTGGATCCTATAAAGACGTCAAGTTTGGTTCATCCCTTAAGGAATGAACCAAAATAATACTTGAAATTGTTTAAACTAAAAAAATAATATTCGATGTTACTTTTATATTTATATAGTAATTGAGTTGGCTGGGATAAAAGAATTATCTTAATATAAAAACTAGATAAAACATTTTTTAGTGGTGTTTTCTATTTCATATAAAGTAACACGAAAAAAAGGCAAATATGACTAAATAATGTTATTACATAGTCATTATATAACAATTGATCTGTCTATCCTAACTCACTCAACTACTTACAAAATAAAAGTAATATCCTTATTTAAAACGTCTTTTCTATCAAGTATCAATAAATATAAAACTAACATAATGAAGCTAGAATAAAATATAAGGGGTTATATAATATAAAATAAAATATAAAATAAAAATTAAGTTGAAAAAGTTATTTTTCGTAAAAAGTTACTATTTTAAATCCCCTCCCTATGAGCAGATTAAGTGTTAGATTTTCAAAAAAATGATATCAAATGAAAGCAAAATATCTAAGGTTTTAGTATAAAAAAAAATTATGTTGATTTGTTTATGTTGATTTGTTTATTTTTATAAGTTTAAATTTATATTTTTTTTGGATATTTCCCCCATTTTCGGGGAACGAGAAAAAATGTTTCAATTTTTAAGGGTAATGTCTTCAACTAGATACGATTTGTGATCTTTTGACGTATTTTTGAAAGAAATCGGTCCAGTGAGAGCTGAGAAAAAGTGGCAACAGACATAAAAAAAAAAAAAACACATCATAGTAAAATTAATACCTTCTCCGCTTCGCATCGAAGCTAAAAATTTGCGAAAAAAAAGTTAATTTGTATAAATTTCAAACGAGATACGGTACTTTGAAATTTAGGAGATTTTAAAAAAAATTACAGCAGTTCCTCGAAACAGTGACATTATTATTTTATGTACCAATAAGAGCTAATGGTTAGTTGTAGCAACACGCTATTATAATACATACACCACTCATTATTCAGTAGTTTATATGTTATTGTCTATTAGTCATCAAATTAAATATATATTATTCATGTTAATACTTTACACTATTTCAAGAAATACGCCTAAAAATACATTGATATTAATCTACTGTAATAACATGTAAGAAATAACACAAATTGAGTAATAAACAGATAATAGTAAAAGGTCATGACACTTCTTGCATAGATAGATGAATTAAATTTAATATAAAAGGGCATAAAAACTGTCAATCTCTCTCACAACTACTTCACCTTATGAACTTACAACGAATGCAAGAAGCGGCTTGACAAAATACGATTTTACATAGAAAATTGAAGTATATTCATTTTTTCAACATTAGTCCTGATATCATTAAGGTAAATTCATATTCTACAAAAGATCCATAAGGTTTAAAGTTAGATAAAATGAGTACATAAATTAAGTAGGACACCAGAAAAACTAAAGTGATCTCTAGAATAAAATATTGTCTAAATAAATAAAGAGAATCAATAACGTTTGTACGAAGTTAGCCAGCCTAGTCTAATCTTTGAGTGGGTTACCTGTGTAGTCAATACTAATAAAGACTCTCTTGCAAAGATAGAGAACCCATTTGTGGTTCCTATACTACTCGAGGTATTTATTGACTCGACTCAAAGTTAGCACAAGCCTAGATAAATACTGGTACGAGTGGAGTTGATGATCTATGTGTGATAATTAATCACAATAATTTCTATTTCAAAATAATATTATATTAATAAATTTTCAAATATCACTTTGCTTTTCTATATTTTACATCATGAAATTTAACATTTTTTACATGTGATAATGAATACTGTACAAATATGTGCGGTACAAATCCACCATACGAGGGACGTCCAGAAAATAAGGTTACAACATGTGTTAAAACTTGAAAAATGGATATATTTAAATGAAATTTACAAGATAAGTGTCAAAACATGTCATTATTTCTCTACATAATCGCCATTAAAATCAATACATTTTTGAAGCCTATGGACCAGTTTTTGTATACCCTCGTCGTATACCTTCCGCTCCACCCGCCGAAGCCAATTTTCGATAGTATCCTGGACTTTCTCGTCAATTGAAAATCGTTTTCCACCCAAGAACTCCTTCAATTTATTGAAAAGGTGATAATCCGATGGTGCCAGGTCCGGGGAGTAGGGTGGGTGAGTCACAATATCCCACCCAAATGAAACGAGCAGGTTCTGAGTGAGACGGGCGGTATGAGGTCTAGCGTTGTCATGAAGGAGTGACACACCACGAGTTAACATTCCTCTCCTTTTGTCCTTGATTTTTTTTTTCAACTTCTTCAGTGTCTCACAGTATGCAGCTGCATTTATGGTAGTTCCTTTAGGCATAAAATCGACCAATAATAACCCTTTCCGGTCCCAAAAAACAGATGCCATGATCTTCCTCTCTGAAAATTGGACTTTGAATTTTTTTATTGATGGTGAATGGATATGTCGCCACTGTTGAGATTGCCTTTTTGACTCGGGAGTATAGTGA